GGAATGTGTCTGCGGTGGAGGTCTGTCTGGCCGCCGCTCGATTGCTTTCGAGCTGTTGTTGCAGGCGTGGAGTTCAGACGTTTCGCTCCCGTGAGCTACCCTCCACCCCCACCCCAGCCCATCACTTCTCCATCCCAGCCACCCAACAACTCCTGCACGCGGTTGGGAACGTCGCAAATCAACGCCGCAACCACATCGCACGGCTCGAAAGTGACTTGAACGCATTTCGGCAAAAATATACGTGAGAGTAAACACATTAATATTTTTATTTCAAGCTTTCGTGACTGCAGGAATCCGTGCTCTTTGGTTCTTTCGGTAAAGTCACGTCGGGTAGAAAATTAAATAATTCACGACCTTTCGATCGCGATTTATTTTATATTATACCTACGTGATTTTACCGAAAGAACCAAAGAGTAAACACATTTCTATTTCTTGACTTAAAGCTTTCGCGGCTGCAGGAATTCATATTCTTTGGGGGGTCTTTCGGTCAAGCGACGTAGATTGGTTCAAAGAAATTAAACAAAAAATCTACGAAGTTTCGATCGCAACACAAGCAATTGCGTACGGTTCACCCACGTATGACTTTGAACCTCTATGCCAGCGGTCGGGAACCTATGGCTCGCGAGCCATATATGGCTCTTCCGGTGACGGCATATGGCTCCCAGACAATTTTGAGTTGAAAAAAATAATAATCATAAAATAATAATAAAATCAGTTTGGAACTGATTTTAAAATACTTGTGATATTGCTTAATAATACTGTGCCATTTTAAAGTAAACAGAAATTAGTTTTGAAGATAAAATTTCTCGGGTCACGGGTCCCGTGACCAGAAGTCGCATTAAAAGTAAGACATTTAATTTACTATACGTTAAAATACTATATGGCTGTCAATGAAATATATTTAGAAATATTTGGCTTTTATGGCTCTCCCAGTCAAAAAGGTTCCCGACCCCTGTTCTATGCCTGACACATATAGTACGATGATACATACTACAGGATTACAATAGTATTTGACCATACTTCCCCACGCTGGTAAATGGGCGTGGGGTAGCGAGCAAGACGGTTCCTGTGAGGCGATGACGTAACATCAACCTCGGGTTGTCCCGGGACCATTGCGTTCGAGCGCTAACCACTGCGCCACCGCTCCCCCTCACCTATACACGAAACTACAAAGACAAAGACCCCCCCCCCATCTGTATAACCTCAACAGACTGTTGGGGCAAGTGCTGTTGGCGAGCAGCTACGAAGGCCGGCACGGCACACGCAGGGGTTGGGTGGTCAACGGCACGTCCCAGCCGCCTTTGTCTCCCTATTGGCGATGTGCACACATCGACGCCGGCACTCATACGAGGCTGAGTCGAATGTCCCCACAAACTTTCGCCCTCGGGTTGCTGCGCTCTTGACGCAGCGCGCTAACCACTGCGCCACCGCTCCTCGACCGACACAAACGACACGCCCTTGGACGCTTCATGTGAACCGTGCGATCATTGTGACCGTGCGCGTGGTCGTTAACACGCGCGCGCGTGCACACACGCCGCGTTAGATGACCGCTTATGCGCCAATGGGCACAACATTAAAGGTTCAATTTCGCTCGGCGGAGACGAGACTTCGAGAGCGGACCTCATCCAGCAGTGGAGTCGCCATGCGCACGATGCGCGGAATGGAGAGAGAGATCGTGACGAGGGGGACCGCGCGTCAAACGGGAAGAGACGAAGGCATCAATCACCCCTCTTCTTGGTTCTTTCGGTAAAGTCACGTAGAAGGGAAGCAGTCACGAAAGCTTTAAATCGAAATCAATCACCTCCTTAGGGGGCCGTCCATAAATGACGTCACGCGATTTTGGACGATTTTTTAGCCCCCCCCCCCCCTCGTCACACGGAGTTACGAAAAGTCAGACCCCCCCTCATATATGACGTCACAAAGCTCTGCCCCCCCCCCAAAAATAAAACATGCTTCAAATCGCTTTAAACTATTGTCATTGTAGTACGTATTTAATGTGGCGCTGCACTCTGATGTTGTAGGAGAAAACATTTTTTTAAAAGTCTATTTAATTAACTAGAACGTGTTGCCTATATTTATTTAAAGTTGCGCATTTTGATGTGACGTCACATTTCTCACCCCCCCCCCCCCTCGTCACACATCGTCACAAATGTCTAACCCCCCCCCAGGTGCGTGACGTCATTTATGGACGGCCCCTTGATCGAAAGTGCCCCCCCACCCATCCTCCTTCAGGTGGTGGGGGGAGGTGGTGGGGCGAGCCCAGGTGAGGTCAATTAGTCAATTAACGCATCGTGCCCCAAAAGAGTCAGCTAAGAAATCCCCCAAACCCCTCCCCTACCACCACCCCGTCAGTGGAAAGCACAGTTAGCGAGCACCTATTGAGGGTCAACAAGGTGCACGAGAGGGTGGTGTGATCGCTGATGTTGTACACACCTGCGCCAGGCAGTGTGCTCGTTCGAGGCTGGGTCAACCTAAGAAGGAAAGCCAGCAACAAGGACCGGCTGGAGACTGCAAGCACCACCGTTGATTTGGCCGTGAGCGGGAATCGAACTCGCATTTCCGGGGCTTTGCAAGTGTCCGCGAGTTGGGTTGAGCAGAGAAGCAGGCGAGAGTTCTCGAGTCCGCGAAATGTCGGAATTATGATTCTCAAAAGTGGCTCGGGTTTTCATTTAACTTCATTTATTAGGTGTAACCCTGTGAGCCGTGCGGCTCTTGACTCGGGTGCAACCGCAACAAAACAAAAGCGTGAACAAGAAACGTCTTAAAGTGACTAACACGCAACAGAAAAATCCTCGAAAGAACAGCAAAGCCTTCCAGAAAAAACACCGCATTTCAACGCTGTGTGCAAAAATCCCAGTGGGATGCAAGTCAAACAATAACAACGACCGCAACAACAAACGCAAATGCGATCGAATGCAATTACTGCACGGCATCAACGAATTAAATAGAAAGCAGAACGAAAAAAAACCGATTGCGTCACATGGCGAAATGGAAGAAATGTTGCGAAACCATAAATTAGTGTTCATTCATAAATGAACGTAAAGTAAAGACAAAGATGCCAAGTACGGCCTTGACAGACTGCAGGGACAAGTGCTGTTAGCGGGCACCTACGAAGGCCGAAACGGCACCCGAGGCTGCCCAACACCACGCCCGGCCGCCTTTGTCTTCCCAGTGGAATGTTTACAGAGCGCACCAAATACTCAGAACAGGTTCAGATGTAATCGTCGCTGGTGTTGGCCGTGAGCGAGAATCGAACTCGGGTCGCCGGGATCGGAGCGCAGCGTGCTAACCACGACACCCACACAAGACAAAGATCCCCCGTATAGCCTGAACAGACTGGAAGGGCAAGTCCTGTTAGCGAGCACCTATAAAGGCCGGCAAGGCACATGCGGGGGCGGGTGGCCAATACCACGCCCGCCCGCCTTTGTTTCCCCAGTGGCGATGTTTACACACCGCACCAAGTACTTAATTTGAGGCTGAGTCGACGTACACCCATACACTCCTACAAACACAGACCCACACAAACACGCTTCTACACATAAGCACACTTACATACACCTATACTTATTAACACGTATAGGCTTTCGCGACCAATATCCATAATCGAGGTTTTGTGTTAGATCGCGTAAATATAAATGTTTTGTTAAACCCGCCACTACCCGACACAGCCAACTAGTAAGGGTTGTCACGTAAACAGAACGTGGCAATTCGTTGCTAGTACAGCTCTAACCGGTGTGTTGGAGAGTAAAATACAGGCGGACAGCCAGGAGGATGTCTCAACAACTTTGGGCTGTCCGTCTGATGATGCTGGTTGTAATTACTGGCGAAACGTCGTACTCGAATTGTAAATGTTAGTTTTACTATCCAACACGCCGGTGTGCTGAGCTCGTAACGAATTGGCTTGGCTTACGTGTGACAACCTTCACTAATTGGCCGTGTCGGGTGGTGGCGGGTTTTACGACACATTTATATTTACGCGATATAACCCAACAACCTCTATTATGAACCTATACTATACTTATAAAGACACGTACTTTCACACCCGCCCAGAAAAACTTGTACGTACAAAAGGACCCCCCCCCCCCCACCATGTATAAAGACAAAGATCCCCCTCGTAGCGCTAGTAGACTGTTGGGGCAAGTGTTGTGAGAGAGCACCTACGAAGGACGGCACGGCACACGAGGGAGTGATGTGGCCAATACCACGCCCGGCCGCCTTTGTCTCCCCAGTGCTGATATTTACACACCACGCCAGGTACTCATTGAAAGCTGGAGAGGCACGGTGCCGGTTCAATAATAATGATCCGTCTCTGATGTTGACCGTGATCGGGTTGCCGGGTTCGTGGCGGAGTGAGCTGACCACTGCACCACCGCTCCCCACATGCAAACAAATACTGTCTGCACATACACACTGAAAGCACACGAGTACACTTCCACACACAAAAGACAGAGACATACACACAAAGACCCCCCGTATATCCTTGCCATACGTTTGGGGCAAGTGCTGTTAGCGAGTAGCGCCTTTGAAGGCACGGCACGTGCCAGCACACGACACGAGGGGTGGGTGGTCAACACCACGCCCGGCCGCCTTTGTCTCCCCAGTGGCGATGTTTATAACAGCACACATACACCTACACACACGTGTCGGCTTGTAGTCATACTTTCGCATACATAGGCGCAAAGACACATACACCTACACAGCCACTTTCCATACCCACACAAAGACACACGCATACACATATTTGCACTTACAAACAGCACGGCAAACAGCGACACACACACACTTTGTAGAAACACGTACCCCGCACCCACACACAACCTACAACTTTACACTTACGCACACTTGCGCGAACCACCACAACACTCGCAGCCACACACACACACGCCCACACGCGCACACACACGCACACACTTTACACATTTTGGCAAGTGTTGTCAGCGAGCACCTATCGAGTCCGGCAGGGCACACGAGGGGGTGGTACACACTTTGTAAACACTTACACTGTACAGCACGCCGCCGTGACATCTGTGACCCCGAGGCGCGCTTCCCGTACCTGTGCCGCCAGGTGCGTGCGTCTCGCCGGGGTGTCCCTGGGGAGTCGAGTGGATGAGCCGCCGGTGAGCCGTGTCTGGGCCTCCCCGAAGCAGCTGCAGCGGCAGCAGCAGCAGCAGCAACGACGCCACAGTCATCTCACGTCGAGATCTTCTCACGCCGAGACGACCAACATCTCACGGCGAGTTCATCATCGTCGTCGTCGCCGTCGCTTGACGCCGGGGCCGTGCACGCCGCGTCACCGCGGAGCGGAAACGCGGGAGGAACCGCGCCCCAGAAGAGTGAAAATGGTACCGGTTCGCACCTGAACAGGTGTCGCGTTCACGAGCCCACGGGCGTGAGACTGGGGACCCCGCCATGCTATCGTGGAGTTTACGTGATCCTTATCGCTATCGGCACCACCACCACCACGACCGTGGGGGGAGGGGGAGATGCGCTCGTGCCGGCGTGGGGAGCGGTGGCACAGTGGTTAGCGCGCTGCACTACGAGCCCTGCGACTCGAGTTTGATTCACCGCTCGCGTCTGCAAACAGTGACGAATATTCGAACACGTCCTGGGCGGCTCATAAGCCGACTCAGCCTCAAATGAGTCATTGGTGCAGTGCATAAACATCAGCAACGAGGGAGACAAAGGCGGCCGGGCGTGGTGCTGACCACCCACCCCCTCGTGTGCCGTGCCAGCCTTCATAGGTGCTACTCGCTAACAGCACTTGCCCCGGCAGCCTATTAAAGGCTACACGGGGTGTCTTTGTATTTGTGTACCCCTCCACGCGCTGAACTTCTCTCGGTCTCGTGGCACACAGTGACGTCTCGCAGACAGCAATGGACTACCGCGAGGTTGACATCAGAACCAACTCTTCGAGTCGCTTCAATTGGCGCCGCACGCTCCCACGTGGCCTGGTGCAGGGGAGGTGTCACCTCTAATATCGATCGAATCCGAGCTGGACTTCTGCCCACTTAGACGAGAGAACAAACTTAACGCAGACTCGCAAACCTGCCAACCCATACGGTTTACCGCGTATTCTTGTACAGGGAAATGTAGTTATCGGGCCCATACGCCGTACAGCCGTTTCAATACGGGCAATGTTTTGTGTCTATGTGTTTGTGTTTCTCCTTTGTGATGGGACTTTGAAGGATAAACGTTGAGATTTATAAGGGACACGGGGTGACCAATACGGTCTGAATTGGTCTGTAGTAAGGTCGTGCACGGTGTTAATAACAGACCTGGTGCTCACTGAGATATGTGTCCAAGGTTTGGTCGACAGTGGGGAAAAAAAGGTGGAACGCATACTTACAGATGAACCCTAACCCTAACCATGACCTGAACGGGCTAACCCGCCATCAGCACGTGGTCTGGGCGCACACGCAACCCCCACCCACCACGCGCCCTCAACCGCATTCCAACTTAGACTTGCGTCATCGGAGGCGGTATCATCAAAGCGAACCCGCGCCGCACAGGGGCGTTTATTTTGGGAGGGTACAGGGGGAGCCCCTTGAATTTCTTGCAGCAGCAGCCGCCGCAGCAGTCGTAGTAGCAACAGCACTCAGCATCGGTGCCAGTACTTGCATCAGAAAAGCGCAGTTGCATCGGCAGTAACGGCAGCAGAAGCATCAGCAACACAAGTTTATCAGAAGCAGCAATATCAGCAGCAGTACTTGCATCATAAACATCAGTTGCATCGGCAGCAACAGCAGCAACACGAGTTGAATCAAAAGCAGCAGCAGATAAAACAGAAGCAGCAAAAGCAACAACAGCACTAGTATCAGCACTTGCATCAGAAGCAGCAGTTCCGTCTGCACTGACAGCCGCTTCAGAGGTATCATCAGCAGCAATAGTTGAATCAGAAGCAGAAAGAGCATCGGCAGGAGAAGCAGTAGCATCAGCAACAGCAGTCGCATAGTAGTAAGAGCAGCCACATCAGCAGCATCAAAAGTAGTTTAATCAGAGGCAGCAATAGCGGCAGTAGCATCAGCAGTAGTATCATCAGCAGCAGCAGCAAGTGCCTGGCTGTTGTGCAAAGAATGCAGGAGTGATTTATGCAAATTATAGAGGAAGAAATGGCTTGATATGGGCGTGAGAAATATCTGCTGACACTGACCTGGCAAAGTCGAAATAATTTTGTGGGGGTTTTTTTCATATTTTATTTTGACCTTAGGTCCACCCGAGCATCCGAGGAATGAGCGCGTGGGAGGCGTGGGATGTTGGCTCGGCACCGTTCAGAGAGATTGAGTCGGTGCCACTGATATCGAACCAGGTTCTAAGTGGGGTTCGTCATTGCCATGTGAGAAACCACCTGCCGGATTGTTGGGGATCTTGGGTCTAAGCCCTGGGTATGGCAGACCATGATTCAGCATTGTTGAGATTCTGAGTCTCTCTCCCTGTCTCAGGGAGATTCATAATGGCCGTGTTGGAGACCTCGAGTCCAGAGTTAAAATCCGAATTCAACCGCCCATGGTTAGATCGGGTTCTCAAGCGTAGCGAGTTTGTGGTCTCAGTCGGGTTGCCAATGACTGCACTCAAAAACACATGACGTAATGTTTATATTTCCCCAATAATTCGGCAGCACAATAATTCGATGTTACGCGTTTCTGAGAATGAACATGATTGTTGGGGTTGACTGCGACCCATGGGACACGTGTCCGGCACGAGCTAATGAGAAGATTCGCTAATAAAAAAATAATAGAGATAGAAAAATGAGCAGATAATCTTTCTCCATATATATAAACTTTATTTTACACTTTCCCTCCACCCACACAGCCTTCGGGGAGTGCAACAACTCTGGACCGGTTATTTGGTGTCTTGCGGATATACCGGTCCGCTTGAACGGATCTCAGAATTTAGTTCTGGGAATTCTCCATCCGCGGGCCGTTGCCTAACAATGAATGATTCGCTGCTGACTACTGGGAAAGTCTCCAATGGAATCTCTCCAAGTGGGGCTCATGGCACGACTCCGGTAGCACAGTCAGAGCAGAACTTGCGAAGAGGAAAAACGGACACACAGCTGGGTTGTTGTGTTTAGTTTCAACCACCATACCAATTGTGGATGTGTTGTCATGGATTAACGGGTCCCAGCCGTAGAAATGTGGAATTTGCACAACTGGATTAGGACCCGCCTGCGGCGAATTGTGCCAAATAAGCAATTTTTTTTTTATCATGGCGACACATTGTCATAATCATCATTATCGACTATGCTCAATCCTCTGCTGGATGACTGCCTCCCTCCACTCCGTGTCGATAACGGCGGTTGTTTGACCATACCTCACCACGCTGGTCAGTGCGTGTTGGTGCAGTGACGACCTGTGCACCTATCACTGGCCACGGATTTTAGCCGTGGCCGGAATAGAACAAACACACACCGTGATCCATGTATAGATACCCCACCGCGTTAACAGGGAGAATTGTTGAAGACATCTACGCGTCTGGATCACCCTGTATATTTAAACAAATTATTTGGAGATACTGCTGCTGCCTTGGCAGAGGTGAACAACCACGATTAACACAACTGAATGGCCCATCCAATCAGTTTATGTGCCATAAAGAAGGCCCATTGCCCGAAACGTTATCGAAGGGTGTTTTTCTCTCTCTTTTTTTAAAGGCAGTGTTGTTGAGTGTGTTGAGTTTCCTGCATTTAATTCGTACACGGGGATAAGTGTACAGTTACAAGAACCTGCGTGTGTCCTTGGGTGACCTTTAATCCACCACCCCCCCCCCCCAATCGCCACCTCTCTACCCCCACCGCGATCCGAAATCTTCTGGTAACGCCCACGACTCGAGGCAGTGGAATTAACGATGTCAAAGTGTGAAAGGTGAACACAATTTACTCGAGATGTATTGCAACAGACCTTCCATCGTGTGTGTGTATACGTGGGGTTTTTCTTATAAACACACACACACACACATATATAAATAACGTGAAACGAAGTTTGACATCTTTTGCTTATTACCACGGTGGAAAGGGATTTTTTCTATAATTTTGGTGACAGAATGTTACCAATGTACAGTGGTTTGGTTTCATGAGCTCGTGTGGACCAGTTCAGTGTTTTGTGTATAAAAAAATAGCTAAATCTTTTCGTGATTTTTTTTTACAACTTGATTACAAAATATCGCTTTTATGTGTATACGATAACAAGTGTCATTAATATCCCTGGCATCTCAATCACAAGCTCCGATGCAGCTCAACCATGCCACTTCTGAGCAGTGGTTGAATCTATTGACATTGGGGGGGGGGGAGCTGATGGCAGCTGTCCTACAGGCACACGCAGCCTACTCTTTAGAATAGCATCACGGGCACTTGAACCTCCACTGTGATGCAGACCCTGCCAATGTATGGTAACCACTTAGCAACCCAAACTAAGGACCACATAGTAAACCCACTGTGGCCTGCGCTCTTTCAGCGGAGGAGGTACAGAAAACGACACCTCTCGTCGCAGCGATCAGCAAACCTCGACATTGGCATTACGTTCCTGAACATACTGCTGCCATTCGCAAGAATACAAGTGTCCCCACGGAGTGTATCTATGTGTACCCGTACCTACACCGCAGGCCCTGCAGCGCCAACAACCAACTCCATCGGAACCACGACCACAACTTTCGTCACTATCACCAGCAATACCACAACCCTCCATCACAACTACCACCACCACCACCGCACAACCCCCATCACAACTACCACCACACAACCCCCACCTCGCCAACCACTCTCGGAAACTTTGGGGCCGTCCATAAATGACGTCACGCACCTGGGGGGGGGGAGTAGTCAGACATTTGTGACGATGTGTGACGAGGGGGGGTGGGTGAGAAATGTGACGTCACATCAAAATGCGCAACTTTAAATAAATATAGACAACACGTTCTACTTAATTAAACAGACTTTGTAATAAATGTTTTCTCCTACAACATCATCAAAGCGAACCCACTACAATGACAATAGTTTAAAACGATGTGAAGCATGTTTTATTTTTGGGGGGAGGGGGCAGAGCTTTGTGACGTCATATTTGAGGGGGGGGGCTGACTTTTTGTGACGCCGTGTAACGAGGGGGGGGGGGTCAAAATCGTCCATTATCGCGTGACGTCATTTATGGACGGTCCCTTGTTTTCTATCAGTCCTCCCGTGTCCCCCATCTCTCGCGCCACGTGGCACCTGGGGGATAGGGGGGGGGCTGTTGCCGGTGCCCGCGGGGGTCTCGCGCCACGAGGAGTCCGCGGGACCCGGAGCCCATCGGGGGTCGCTCATTCGTGTGACAACAGCGCCACCTACAGCGCCACCAGGCGACAAGCAGCACACACAGCAAGCCGCACGCAGCCTCGCAGAGCTCTACAGCACACACAGCCCTGTGTCACACACAGTTCCGTGTCACACACAGCCCTGTGTCACACACAGCCCTTGTGTCACACACAGCCCTTGTGTCACACACAGCCTGTGTCACACACAGTTCCGTGTCACACACAACCCCTGTCACACAGCCTGTGTCACACACAGCCCTGCAGCACACAGCCCCGGGTCACACACAGCCTTGTGTCACACACAGCTCCGTGTCACACACCGCCTGTGTCACACACAGCCCTGTCACACACATAGCCTTGTGACACACACAGCCCGTGTCACACACAGCCCCTGTCACACACAGCCCCCGTGTCACACACAGCCCTGTGTCACCCACAGCCCTGTGTCACACACAGCCCTGCAGCACACAGCCCCGGGTCACACACAGCCTTGTGTCACACACAGCTCCGTGTCACACACCGCCTGTGTCACACACAGCCCTGTCACACACATAGCCCTGTGACACACACAGCCCGTGTCACACACAGCCCCTGTCACACACAGCCCCCGTGTCACACACAGCCCTGTGTCACACACAGCCCTGTGTCACACACAGCCCTGTGTCACACACAGCCCCGTGTCACACACAGCCCCGTGTCACACACAGCCCTGTGTCACACACAGCCCCGTGTCACACACAGCCCTGTGTCACACACAGCCCTGTGTCACACACAGCCCTGTGTCACACACAGCCCTGTGTCACACACAGCCTGTGTCACACACAGCCTGTGTCACACACAGCCCTGTGACACACACAGCCCCGTGTCACACACAGCCTGTGTCACACACAGCCCCGTGTCACACACAGCCCCGTGTCACACACAGCCCGTGTCACACACAGCCCCGTGTCACACACAGCCCCGTGTCACACACAGCCCTGTGTCACACACAGCCCTGTGACACACACAGCCCCGTGTCACACACAGCCCCGTGTCACACACAGCCCCGTGTCACACACAGCCCTGTGTCACACACAGCCCTGTGACACACACAGCCCCGTGTCACACACAGCCTGTGTCACACACAGCCTGTGTCACACACAGCCCTGTGACACACACAGCCCCGTGTCATACACAGCCTGTGTCACACACAGCCCCGTGTCACACACAGCCCCGTGTCACACACAGCCCGTGTCACACACAGCCCCGTGTCACACACAGCCCCGTGACACACACAGCCCCGTGTCACACACAGCCCTTGTGTCACACACAGCCCCGTGACACACACAGCCCTGTGTCACACACAGCCCCGTGTCACACACAGCCCCGTGTCACACACAGCCCCGTGTCACACACAGCCCCGTGTCACACACAGCCCTGTGTCACACACAGCCCCCGTGTCACACACAGCCCCGTGTCACACACAGCCCCGTGTCACACACAGCCCCGTGTCACACACAGCCCTGTGTCACACACAGCCCCGTGTCACACACAGCCCTTGTGTCACACACAGCCCCGTGTCACACACAGCCCTTGTGTCACACACAGCCCCGTGTCACACACAGCCCTGCGTCACACACAGCCTGTGTCACACACAGCCCCGTGTCACACACAGCCCCGTGTCACACACAGCCCTGTGTCACACACAGCCCCCGTGTCACATACAACCCTGTGTCACACACAGCCCCGTGTCACACACAGCCCCGTGTCACACACAGCCCTGTGTCACACACAGCCCCGTGTCACACACAGCCCCGTGTCACACACAGCCCCCGTGTCACACACAGCCCTGTGTCACACACAGCCCCGTGTCACACACAGCCTGTGTCATACACAGCCCCGTGTCACACACAGCCCCGTGTCACACACAGCCCTGTGTCACACACAGCCCTGTGTCACACACAGCCCTGTGTCACACACAGCCCCGTGTCACACACAGCCCCCGTGTCACACACAGCCCTGTGTCACACACAGCCCCTGCAGCACACAGCCCCGTGTCACACACAGCCTGTGTCACACACAGCCCCTGCAGCACACAGCCCCTGCAGCACACAACCCCGTGTCACACACAGCCCCGTGCAGGGAAACTCTCCGAGCCGGCAGGGAGAGAGCGAGTGGAGAGTTGATCCGGCGGAGCGGCTGGGATCGCTCACCGCAGGAGTGGCATGGGGGGCTCCCATCCACTGATAAACGCGCAACGTTGGGTCAACGTTGGAGAAAGTTGCGTCAACTTGGAGCAACGACAATCCGACGAGTTATGAGCCGAAGGTAAAAAAAAAAGATCTTTGTGAATTGTTAACTTTGATTTAACTCTGCCGTTCGTGTATCACGTAAAGTAAATTAACACAATTCGAACTGAATTACAAAGCAGGGTGTGACTATAACAATGGAGATGTTTGGCATCAGGTAATGAGGGACCCCCCCCCCCCCACCCCTAAAGAAAAAATAAACCATTAATAGCCCCCCGAGACGACTCCCAATGAACACATTCCTGCGGAGGGAGCTGGTAGGAACGTTGGGTTGCTCGGTCAATGGCCTGCAGGGTCAACGGCGGCGTGGTGTATTCCGCAAATATGCCCGACTGTGAGGGCGGGCACAAGCCGGCGTGAGTAGGTTAAACGTTGAGTCTTATAAGGGCACCACGGGGTGACCAGCCCCTCCCCACCCAGCCCCACCCCTCCCACCCCCCACCCAGCCCCTTCCCACCCAGCCCCTCCCCACCTAGCCCCTCCCCACCCTCCCCACCCTCCCCACCCTCCTCACCCAGCCCCACCCTTCCCACCCAGCCCCTCCCCACCCAGCCCCTCCCCACCCTCCCCACCCAGCCCCTCCCCACCCTCTCCACCCTCCTCACCCAGCCCCACCCCACCCTCTCCACCCAGCCTCTCCCCACCCTCCCAGCCCAGCCCCTCCCCACCCTCCTCTCTCCACCCAGCCCCACCCCTCCCATTTTTGGATTCACGACGGACGGACGGACACAATAATCCCCTGTGGGCTGGTGGAACCAGGTGGTTCCTACCAACAACATGCCAACGTCGTCCTAACGTTAGCGCAACGTTGGATCCCGACGTTAGAATTTTTTAGAAAGTTGATTCCCTGAGCTTGTGGCCAATTGGCGAATGAGACGGCTCTATTGATGATGATTTTGTTTTGACGGTGGTGCTGATATTTCTATTGATTATAATAGTTATTTTAAGAATAATCATTGCTTATATATTCTAATATTATAGAATTGTATATAAAAAGTGAAATATACAATTATGTAATAATATATTATTTTTGATCATGCATTATAATTAAATATTAATATATATGAATAATATGTTGTTATATTGTGATATTCTAATATAATAGTATTATATTATATTAATATCGTATCATATATTTTAATAACAATATATTAATTTAGTATAATTACATATAATTTCATCTTCTTGGTTCTTTCGGTAAAGTCACGTAGAAGGGAAGTAATAAAATAATAAAAATAAAACACAACAAAATAATTCTCACGACGTTTCGGCCACAACGCAAGCAGCCGTCCTCAAGTGAAAACCAGGTCCGTCGAGGCGACAGAGTCTGGTCGAAACGTCGTGAGAATTATTTTATTGTGTTTTATTTTTATTATTTTATTACTTCCCTTCTACGTGACTTTACCGAAAGAACCAAGAAGATGAATCCCTGCAGTCACGAAAGCTTTAAATCGAAAAATATAATTTCATGTTATTATAACATTATCTAACCTATATAATTCATTTTTTGTCTGTCTGTCTGTCTATCTGTCTGTCTGTCTGTTTGTCCGTCTGCGTACGCTCTCTTCCGGGGGATTTAGCTCTCGGACCGTGGGGTTCGCCGAGATTAAATTTTGCAGGTGGGCATGCCCCCGGCCCGCGGTAAACTTAGGCATTTCCGATTTTTCGTCTCTAAACTTTAAATCGGACCGATTATCGATTTAGTGCGATTGCTCTTTATTTAGTTATATAAATATTTATTTATTTAATATTGCCGGCCGGCGCGGACCACGGCGGTTGCCCCTGGCAACGGGTAGCAACAACTTCGCTGCGGGGTGGACGCCATTTTGAATTCCCGTTACAAATATGCGCACGCATTAACACGCGATTCTGAGGTAAATTCATCAAAGTTTCACGTCCTCTTCACTCCCCTTCCAACCCAATGTGTGCAATTACTATTATAGGGTCGGTAGATAATAAAATTATAGCGATTAGACAGTATTATTGTACATACACTCCACTCTCACACTCTCAGACTCACCCACATACACTCACTCTCACACACATACACTCACACTCACACACAAACTCACTCTCACACTCAGACTCACACACACAGACTCACTCTAACACTCAGACTCACACACACAGACTCACTCTAACACTCAGACTCACACATACACTCGCTCTCACACTTTCAGACTCGCACACACTCGCGGCGTTGCTCCGTGTTCGGTGGGGGGGGGATGTCACGAGTGGGCGTGTTTACCTTCCCCCCACCCTCCCCGATATCTTCAAACAATCGCGGAGATTCTTATTCCCGTCGAAAAGCTACGAGGTTAGTCACGCAACTTCAAAGCTCAGTTAAAACATTTAAACATTTATGTTTACTATTCTGTATCACTCTTATATATTAAAAGATGTTAGGGATTAAGTTATGTTTGATGATAGTAAATATACACTATGCACCACGATTTTTCCCTGGGTAAAAAGTGTTATTTTTATATTGCTTAAGCCTCCTAAGTATATAAGATGGCTATTATTCCCCATACATGTTGCTTTTGTGACCAGAACTTTATATAAAGGAAAGAATTACACAAATGCACAGGTTTTTCCTAGCAAAATAGCTCCATTTGTAAATATCACTGTCCGTGTCAAAAAAAATTAAGTTTGAGGGGAATTTTCTCCCATTTGTAACTTTTGAGATGTCAGCGTATAGAAAATAATACTTACTACCCAGAGACTAACACATGTGTAGTTTTTGGTAAAAAAAAATATATTTTTACAATTAAAATTTTGGTCACTGTCTGTATCTCAAAAACTAAGTTTGAGGGGAATTTTCTCCAACTTGTAACTTTTGAGATGTCAGCGTATAGAAAATAACACTTACTACCCAGGGACTAACACATGTGTCGTTTTTGGTAAAAAATGTTCTTTGAATCGCGCAAAGGAATCATCGAAGGTTGTAGATTCCTTTAGGATCGCCCTTAACATTTCCGACACACACATTCACACATTTAGCTTTTACATTTAACATACAAAACGTCAGCATGTACTGCTGTCATCATAGGCAAAAAATGTATACACCCTCAACCCTCTCCCTCACCACTCTCCCTCACTCATCATCACCACTCACCCTCTCCACTCACTATCACTCACTATCACTCACCACTCACTATCACTGACCACTCACCATTCACCCTCACCACTTACCCTCACAATTCACCCTCACCACTATTCCTCACTACTTACCCTCACCACTCTCCCTCACCAATCACCAATCACCCTCAAGCATACTTGGCGACACGTAAGTAAGTTTGTAAAACGGGAATAGGGTGAGTGGTGGTGGTGAGGGTGAGTGTTGAGGGTGAGTGGTTAGGGTGAGTAGTGAGGGTGAGTGGTGAGCGTGAGTGGTGAGGGATAGTGGTGAGGGAGAGTGGTGAGGGAGAGTGGTGAGGGAGAGTAGTGAGTGGTGAGGGTGAGTGGTAAGTGGTGAGGGTGAGTGGTAATTGGTGAGGGTGAGTGGTGAGGGTGAGTGTTGAGGGTGAGTGGCGGTTGTTAGTGGTGATTAGTGAGGGGTGAGTGGTGAGGGTGAGCGTGAGTGGTGAGGGTGAGGTTGAGTGGTGAGCAGTGAGGGTGAGTGGTGATTGGTGAGGGTGTGATTGGTGAGGATGAGTGGTGAGGGTGAGTAGTGAGGGTGAGTGGTTGTTGTGAGGGTGAGTGGTTGTTGTGAGGGTGAGTGGTGAGGGTGAGTGGTAAGAGTGAGTGGTGAGGGTGAGTGACGGTTGTGAGAGGTGATTAGTAAGTGGTGAGGGTGAGTGGTGAGGGTTAGTGGTGAGCATGAGTGGTGAGGGTGAGTGTTGAGCGTGAGTGGTGAGGGTGAGTGGTGATTGTTGAGGGTGTGATTGGTGAGGATGAGTGGTGAGTAGTGAGGGTGAGTGGTGAGGGTGAGTGGTGAGTGGTGAGGGTGAGTGGCGGTTGTGAGTGGTGATTAGTGAGGGGTGAGTGGTGAGGGTGAGCGTGAGTGGTGAGGGTGAGTGGTGAGGGTGAGCGGTGAGGGTGAGCAGTGAGGGTGAGTGGTGATTGGTGAGGGTGTGATTGGTGAGGATGAGTGGTGAGTGGTCAGGGTGAGTGGTGAGGGTGAGTGGTGAGTGGTTAGGGTGAGTAGTGAGGGTGAGTGGTGAGCGTGAGTGGTGAGTGGTGAGCGTGACTGGTGAGGGTGAGTGGTGAGGGAGAGTGGTGAGGGAGAGTGGTGAGGGAGAGTGGTGAGGGAGAGTGGTGAGGGTGAGTAGTGAGTGGTGAGGGTGAGTGGTAAGTGGTGAGGGTGAGTGGTGATTGGTGAGGGTGAGTGGTGAGGGTGAGTGGGGAGGGTGAGTGGCGGTTGTTAGTGGTGATAAGTGAGGGGTGAGTGGTGAGGGTGAGCGTGAGTGGTGAGCAGTGAGGGTGAGTGGTGATTGGTGAGGGTGTGATTGGTGAGGATGAGTGGTGAGTGGTCAGGGTGAGTGGTGAGGGTGAGTGGTGAGCGGTGAGGGTGAGCGGTGAGGGTGAGTGTTGAGGGTGAGTGGTGAGCGGTGAGGGTGAGCGTTGAGGGTGAGTAGTGAGGGTGAGTGGTGAGCGTGACTGGTGAGTGGTGAGGGTGAGTGGTGTGGGAGAGTGGTGAGGGAGAGTGGTGAGGGAAAGTGGTGATGGTGAATGGTGAGGGTGAGTGGTGAGGGTGAATGGTGAGGGTGAGTGGGGAGGGTGAGTGGTGAGGGTGAGTGGGGAGGGTGAGTGGCAGTTGTGAGTGGTGATTAGTGAGGGGTGAGTGGTGAGGATGAGCGTGAGTGGTGAGGGTGAGGTTGAGTGGTGATTGGTGAGGGTGCGATTGGTGAGGATGAGTAGTGAGGGTGAGTGGTTGTTGTGAGGGTGAGTGGTGAGGGTGAGTGATGAGGGTGAGAGGTAAGAGTGAGTGGTGAGGGTGAGTGACGGTTGTGAGAGGTGATTAGTGAGTGGTGAGGGTTAGTGGTGAGCATGAGTGGTGAGGGTGAGTGTTGAGCGTGAGTGGTGAGGGTGAGTGGTGATTGTTGAGGGTGTGATTGGTGAGGATGAGTGGTGAGTAGTGAGGGTGAGGGTGAGTGGCGGTTGTGAGTGGTGATTAGTGAGGGGTGAGTGGTGAGGGTGAGCGTGAGTGGTGAGTGGTGAGGGTGAGTGGTGAGGGTGAGCAATGAGGGTGAGCAGTGAGGGTGAGTGGTGATTGGTGAGGGTGTGATTGGTGAGGATGAGTGGTGAGTGGTCAGGGTGAGTGGTGAGGGTGAGTGGTGAGGGTGAGTGGTGAGAGGTGAGGGTGAGTGTTGAGGGTGAGTGGTGAGTAGTGAGGGTGAGTGGTGAGCGTGACTGGTGAGTGGTGAGGGAGAGTGGTGAGGGAGAGTGGGGAGGGTGAATGGTGAGGGTGAGTGGTTGAGTGGTGAGGGTGAGTGGCAAGTGGTGAGGGTGAGTGGTGATTGGTGAGGGTGTGATTGGTGAGGATGAGTGGTGAGTGGTGAGGGTGAGTAGTGAGGGTGAGTGCCGAGCGGTGAGGGTGAGTGGTTGTTGTGAGGGTGAGTGGTGAGAGTGAGTGGTGAGGGTGAGTGGTGAGGGTGAGTGATGATTGTTGAGGGTGTGATTGGTGAGGATGAGTGGTGAGTAGTGAGGGTGAGTGGTGAGGGTGAGTGGTGAGGGTGAGTGTTGAGGGTGAGTGGTGAGGGTGAGTGGCGGTTATGAGTGGTGATTAGTGAGGGGTGAGTGGTGAGGGTGAGCGTGAGTGGTGAGGGTGAGCAGTGCGGGTGAGTGGTGATTGGTGATTGGTGAGGGTGTGATTGGTGAGGATGAGTGGTGAGTGGTCAGGGTGAGTGGTGAGGGTGAGTGGTGAGCGGTGAGGGTGAGTGGTTGTTGTGAGGGTGATTGGTGAGGATGAGTGGTGAGGGTGAGTGGCGGATGTGAGTGGTGATGGGTGAGTGGTGAGCGGTGAGGGGTGAGTGGTGAGGGTGAGTGGTGAGGGTGAGTGGTGAGGGTGAGTGCTGAGTGGTGAGGGTGAGTGGTGAGAGAGTGGTTAGTTTTGAGGGTGAGTGGTGAGGTTGAGTGGTGAGGGTTAGTGGAGAGTGGTGAGTGATGATTGGTCAGTGGTGATTGGTGAGGATGAATGGTGAGTAGTGAGGGTGAAGTTGAGTGGTGCGGGTGAGTGGTGGTTGTGACGGTGAGTCGTGAGGGTGAGTGGTGAGGGTGAGTGGTGAGGCTGAATGGTGAGGGTGAATGGTGAGAGTGAGTGGTGAGTGGTGAGGGAGAGTGGTGAGTGAGAGTGGTGAGGGTTAGTGGTGAGGGTTAGTGGTGAGAGTGAGTGGTGAGGGTGAGTGGTGATTGGTGAGTGGTGAGGGTGAGTGGTGAGGGTGAGTGGTGAGGGAGATTGGTGAGGGAGGTTGGTGAGTGGTGAGTTGTGAGGGTGAATGGTGAATAGTGAGTGGGAGTGGTGAGTGGTGAGGATGAGTGGTAAGGGTGAGTTGTGAGTGGTGAATGGTGAGGGTGAATGATGAGTACAGTCAATATGCACTGCTGTTATCATACCAGGTACCACCACCACAATATGTACTCCTCTCATCATCGCAGATACCACCACAGCAGTATGCACTGCTGTAATCATAGCAGGTACCAACACAGCAGTATGCACTGCTGTAATCATAGCAGGTACCAACACAGCAGTACACTGCTGTAGTGATAGCAGGTACGACCTCAGTCGGTATACACTGCTGTAGTGATAGTAGATACTGCTATCGAGTTGGTAGATACCGCTATAGTAAATACTAAAACAGTCAGTATATACCACTACAGTCAGTCAATACTGCTACAGTCAGTATATACTACTATACAGTCAGTACATACTGCTACGGTGAGTTGCTACTAGAGTCAGTAGATACTATTATAGAGTGAGTAGATACTGCTATAGATTTTGTAGTCACTACTATAGTCAGTGGATACAACTATAGAGTCAGCAGATACTATACAGTTAGTCGTTACGAGTATATAGTCGGTAGATACTACTGTAGGCCCAGTAAATACTACTATGGTCAGTAGTTATTACAGTCACTAAATACTACTACACAGTCAGTAGCTACTACTGGCTCAGTAGATACTACGGTACAGTCAGTAGATACTACTACAGAGTCAATAGATACCACTTCCTCTGTTGTATGTAAGGTGTTGTTAGTATATATACCTACGAGGGGTAAAGATATTTTTTGAGGGGGGGGGGGGAGACCACAATTTTCAGAAACATTTTGACATCAACTATTTACCCCACACTTTCTACAACTTTTTGGACTTGTGAAAGCCTCTTATATATTTGTTGGTGGAGAAATGTACAAACAGCCCACCGGGCTTTGACAATACCTTAGTATCCTGTGTATATATATGTAAGGTTTTTAAGAAATATATTTTTCACCCGGGCAAAGCCGGGTACTTCCGCTAGTACTATATATTATAACATATTACACAACATATTAATTTAGCATAAACATTACAATAACACGAAAATACTATAATATGTTATTATACTATGTTATTATAACATTATAATCTGTAATAACAAATAATAATAATAATAATTTAAAAATTCGCGTCTCTTATTTCCCTGGGGGAGGGAGGGGCCACGTGACCGTGACGAGGCGGCAATGGCGGCGGGCAGCAGCAGCAGTGGAGACGTCGCGGCGTCGTCCTGGAGGGTGAGCTGCCCCCCTCGGCGCCTCTCGACCTCGACTCAAGGTCGCGGGGTCACCGCTAAGACGTCGTCATTAACCAGCAGAGCCACGAATGTCCCCCGGCACGACGCAGCGAGGTTTAAAACGCTCCCGAGTTGCGACGCCGGCGATCGGAGGGCGTCTCGGCCTAGCGGTTGCGGTGCCAGGGACGGTGCCCCTCGGGGTCGTGAAACACACGAAACACACAAACAGCAGCAGCGGTGGTGGCAGTGGCAGCAGCAGTGGTGGCAGTGGTGGTGGCAGTGGCAGCAGCAGTGGCAGCAGCGGTGGTGGCAGTGGCAGCAGCGGTGGTGGCAGTGGCAGCAGCGGTGGCAGCAGCGGTGGTGGCAGTGGCAACAGCAGTGGTGGCAGTGGCAGCAGCGGTGGTGGCAGTGGCAGCAGCGGTGGCAGCAGCGGTGGTGGCAGTGGCAGCAGCGGTGGTGGCAGTGGCAGCAGCGGTGGTGGCAGTGGCAGCAGCGGTGGTGGCAGTGGCAACAGCGGTGGTGGCAGTGGCAGCAGCGGTGGTGGCAGTGGCAGCAGCGGTGGTGGCAGTGGCAGCAGCGGTGGCAGCAGCGGTGGCGGCAGTGGCAGCAGCGGTGGTGGCAGTGGCAGCAGCGGTGGTGGCAGTGGCAGCAGCGGTGGTGGCAGTGGCAGCAGCGGTGGCAGCAGCGGTGGTGGCAGTGGCAGCAGCGGTGGTGGCAGTGGCAGCAGCGGTGGTGGCAGTGGCAGCAGCGGTGGCAGCAGCGGTGGTGGCAGTGGCAGCAGCGGTGGTGGCAGTGGCAGCAGCAGCAGTAGTGCGGGGTGTGAAGTTGTCTCGCTGTTTGGTGTGTGAATGTGGAGGCTTGAGGTGGTGAGCGGCTCCAACCCGAGACCCGGCCCGGGCTCAACGAACGCGGCTCTAACACGAGACGCGATTCTGGTCTAACACGACACCTAACTCAGCTTTAACTTGGGTCTAATACTATCACTAACCCAGCTCTAACGCGCGTCTAATACTACCCCTAAGCCAGCTCTAAGTCGGGTCTAATACTATCCCTAACTCGGGTCTAATACTATCCCTAACCCAGCTCTAACGCGGGTCTAATACTACCCCTAAGCCAGCTCTAAGTCGGGTCTAACACTATACTCTTAGGTTTTTTCGGTAAAGTCACGTAGGTAAAAAATAAAAAATAATAGAAATAAAATAAATCACGACGTTTCGGAGGCAACACAAACTTCCGTCTTCTAATACTATCCTGGTCTAATACTATCTAATACTACCCCTATCTCAGCTCTAACTTGGGTCTAATACGATCCCTAACCCAGCTCTAAGTCGGGTCTAATACAAGACCTACCCCAGCTCTAACTCGGGTCTAATACTATCCCTAACCCAGCTCTAAGTCGGGTCTAATACAAGACCTACCCCAGCTCTATCTCGGGTCTAACTCGAGACCTAACCCAGCTCTAACTGCACTTAACCAGGTCTGACTTTGGACGTAACCTGGTTTGTAACCAGGCCCCTAACACCGTGACCTGAACCCAGCCTTAACCGTCGTCTCTAACCCAGCCTTTAATTGAAACCTCAGACCGCGGACTTAACTCAGACCAAACCCCGTTTACTTATAAACGTAAAAACCAAAGCCAGACATATAATCCCTGCAACTTAACACTGCCCCCCTAACGACGTCTTAATCAAAGTCGCACTCGTGACCCCCCCTTCCCTTCCCACGTCTTCGTTCGCAGCCGCCGCGCAGCTGCGATGTGTACCGGGCCGAGCTGAGACTCTGCAGGAGCCTGAGCAACAGGTTCCACCACGTGTACACGTACGGGGAGAAGCCGGACTGCAGTCCCTGGGGACGAGACCTGGACCTGTGTCACGAGTGGGAGAGGACGGGCAACGAGCTGGCCAAGGCAGGGCCGCATTGTGTGTGTCCTGTGTTTGACCTTTGTGTGTGTGTGTGTGTGTCTCATTAGTTAGTGGTCAGTGTGCGTGTGACCCATGTGTGTGTCTCCTGTGTGTTCTTTTCCGTGGGTGTTTTGTTTGTTCCTATGGCCTGCATGTGTGTGCTATGTTTGTGTGGCCCGTTTGTGTCCTGTATGTGTGTGTCTCCTGTGTTTGCCCCGTGTGTCTCAATTCCAAGTGTATGTTCCGTGTGAATGTGTCCTATTCTAGATTTGAAGCTTTCGTGACTGCAAGGATTCATATTCTTGGGTTTTTTCGGTAAAGTCACCTACGTGACTTTACCGAAAAAACCCAAGAAAATGTGTCCTATGTTTGTGTGCGTCTTGTGTCTGTGTCCCGTGTGTGGGTTTGGAGCGTGTGTGACCATGGGAGACCTTCAGCTCGTAGTAAATAGATCCCGGCTGATGATAAAGAAATACAACAGACAGTAACATTTTTCACAATGCAGCAGGTACCCAGCGTTTACAAAATAATCAATGAATCATAATGTCTCGTCTCATTTAGAAAAAGTATAGTCAACCCTTCTCAGCCACATCTGAATCGTGGTCATGCTTGTTGGGGTTGTGTATGTGACGTTTGTTAAAACCAGCCTAAGCATGCGGTCAGCTTGCACTAGAACTGTAAATTGCGCGAGTTTAGTTAATAATTTCCAGAAGGTTTCTGCAAGGAATACACCCCCGGTTTTTTGTAAACCATCCGTGTAGTTGGGTTAGTTTTATTGTGAAAATAACACCTGTGCTGAAAATAAGCAGTATTGTTTTTATGGGAGTGGGTTTCGTAGGTAGTGGGGTCTCCTCAGATGGTTACTCATTCGTAATTTGTCATCTCGAAAGTTGCCAATCAGGTGACACGCACATCCGCCATCAGTTGTTCAGACTCCACAATCACAGCTTTCGTTCATTATGCGGCCGTAATGTAACAAACATGTCGGAGCACAGAAATCCAAAGGAGGAAAATGTGATGACTTGAATCGGTTACCTGAGCCAGAGAAGAAGAGATGGGAAGCAATGAAGGGGTTCTAAAGGCATTGGGTGGAAGAGGAATGTTTTGAGGAGTGACTTAAAAGCAAACAGAGAGAGGGGACAAGTAGGCAGATTTGCCTGGGTAGGGAGTTTCAGATGGTTGAGGGGCAGCGTAGTAACTAAACGAATGGCCACCACCAACATAATTCACCGCGACAGAGGGTGAGATGTTTGAATTGTGTGCCACCCTGCGAGAGTGAGGTACGTGTGGTGATGTCATCCCTCCTGGTGTCAACATCCCATCGTTAACTTTATTTGCAAGCAGACACAAAAGCCTTTTTGAAAGGGGGGGAGTGGCGTGCAAAGTTCGATACAAAATATCTCGCTGTGTAAAATTTAACTCTCCCACCATAAAATCGAAGGAAATGAAAAAAAAGCATGGTTTATTAGAAACGTAAAATGTATGAGGGAAAAAAGACACACTTCAAGATAAATAGCAAAATTGAGTGCTCTATAGGTATGTAATGATTAACTGCCCTTACCCCAGCGATTCGATGAATTGTAACAATTTGGAGGTGTGGATTGTCTCAAGAATCAATTTTGTGTTTTCGTGCCAGTGTGCTCTAACCGAGCTGTTTGCGGTTGTGTGGTGTCCCCTGTGCCGTCGCGTCATTAGGAGGCGTTGCGGGCAAATGAACGGAACCGCGTTGCCGAGCAGCACAAACACCCGCCTGTGTGGAAGCTGCGGAGCAGACCTCCCGAGGATTGGCATCTCCCGCTGGCCGATGAGGCTGCCGGCAAGTAGACCAGCAGTGGCAGACCACGGTAAGCTGTGGGACTCAAGTTCAAATGTATTTGGTTTAACCACCTAGGAATTCAAGAGACATGGATCGCCTAATGTGCAAGAGCTGCCTGGGTCACTAAATTTACAAACAGGGGCGGACTGGTCACAATTGCCCATTGTGGCATTTGGGTCTTGACTTGGTACAAATACCCAGCTTGCCATGGACTATAATGTCAAATCAACTTGAGTTGGAAATTAGATACAATTCAACTTGAGTTAACCGTCTCATGGAAACAAGGTAACGTGAAATATATTACGACAGGGCTTGAAATTTGACTTGAGTTGACTGTCCCATGAAAACCAGATTTGAATAAAATGGGTTCCGTATGAAGGTAGTCTCAAGCCAAGTTTAGTTTTTCAGTTGTTTATTCTCATTTTACATATTACTTGGTTTGAAATAACTTTTTACTGATAGTGTTGTTGCCCCATGGTCTGTGTGGGTTTTCTCCGGGTGCTCCGGCTCTTCCCACGTACAATAAACACACTCAGTAATTGCCTAAAAAACGTCTTCAAATAAAAATCCAATGCAGCGGCAGGACCCTTCTGAAAAAGAGTAAATGCAACTCAAGCGTGGCTCTCCCGGGTAAATAAATAACGTTTTATTTTTGCAGTAGGTGTTTCCAACGCACACTTTCGTTAACCACACAAAGACTGCCACCTGCAGGACCTGTCGAGGATTGGCAGAATCAGAATAAAAATCTCTATTTAGACTGGAGGAATCTGGTGAGCTATGCAGCTCTTTTTCACAGATGTCCAGTGAATACATTGCTCCAGCAGAACACTTTGCTCGCCTGCTGGGCGCGTAACAATTCATCCCCGCCACAACTCGATGACTGGTCATGATTTTGAGTTGCCGTTTTGATTTAAGAAGCCTTCGTTTCCATTATTTTTTCCGTCCTTATTTGTACCGCTCTAATCTTTAATAGTAATTTCAAAACATTACGCAAGCATATAATATTCATACAATTTGCATAAATCATATGAAATTCCTGCACGTGTGGTTCTATGCGTGATTTATAAATTGTGATTTGGTTCAAGAATCTTTTAAAAATATATTTGTGCTGCCGTTTGTATTATTCATTATTTGTATTTGGTCTCATTCATTCATACATCCCTCGTTCACTTCAGTAGCTTAATTTTAAGATAAACATATAGTTAGAATATAATTTGCATATCTCGTAAATAATCGATTCTTACACACACGATTCGATGTGGACATCGTACGCATAAAAAACAACGTTAATGATTCGTCGCATGCCTAGAACGTACGTTTCAGCGTTTTGGTCTTTGGTTTTGTAAATGTTGTGGGGTTTGGTTTTGTAGATGCTGCATGGCCGGGGTGTACGTGCCAAGGACTTGGGAGGTTGCGCGTCTCCACTGCTGGTCTCCCCGCTGCTGTGCATTGTACGTCCCTGTACATTGTAACAAAACTCCGGTTGTACAGCTGTGACAGTGGCACTTAAGTCTACAGAACATGCACTTTCGGCAGTGTTTCCCGTGATGGCTACCTCTCGCGCGTCATCAATGTTGCCGTCCGGTGTTGGGTGGTTGAAACGCCCGTTGTCCACTTTTCCATTTTGGTGTCACCAAATTTTCACAGTAAGGGAAATCTATTGCAGCATTGCCCAGAGTCTGTCTGCCTATGAACATGCAATCGCCTCCATAAAAGTTTTATACGGTGAAATATTCTACTGCCGGATGGGTGGCCTGGATCAACAGGGTGCTTACGTAGCTGAGGAGGAGGTCGAAGCCCCGTGTGTGGATAACCGGCTGGGTACTCGTGCATCTGTGTGATTAGTCGGCTGATTCATTGGTCTGGTCGGCTGGTTCATTGGTCTGGTCGGCTGTTGGAGTGAGTGGCTGGGTGACTTGGCTGATTTAGTGAGTGGCTCGTCCCTCTTTTGAGAGGGTGCTTCTCCGCGTGGGTGTGCACGGGCACTGGCGAGTCCACGCTCTCCACGCTCGCGTGATGGTTCACACTCTCCGCCGCCTGTTGATGCTGTTGCGTCTTGAGCCGGGCCAGCTCCTCCTCCTAAACACAGCGGGGGCAGAGCGAGAACCACATGGTGGCTAGAGGAGTGGCGTAGCTGTCGACCATCGAGTGTGTGGACAATGCAACTGCACAAAAGACCCACGGGGCGAAACAGCAGAGGCGCCGGGCTCGGAAGAAATGGGGGTGAAAATGGGCTGGGACACCACATTTCGTTTCTTGTACCAGGACCCTTGCCAATGACGCTACGCCAGTGCTGGCATGACGCACACAAATTGCGTCTGGGAGTTTGTCGGTAAAATGTTTCGAATGTGAGCTCAATAAATGATCAAAACTGATATGCTCTCTTGAGTAATGTTGTAGTTTGTTGCATTTAGACCTGTTACTGTATACACAGGGTGGAATGTAACCTACTTGTTCCACATGGTACCGATCTTAGTTTTAATGACAGAAGTTATTTTATGCTTGAATGGGCATTTAACTGATGCTCAATGCTCATTCAAGCAGGTAGACTGTGGCCGTGGAGATTCACACATTTCCTAATTGGGAAATGCACAGCAATCTTCGATCCCCAACTGGGAAAACTTCGGAATAAAGAGTGTTGCCACTCAGTGAGGCTTTTCTGGGTCAAACAGCCCAAATAAAATAATATTTACCAGAGAGGAAGGAGTTTAAGACGTTTATCCATCCTCGTCGTAAGCCGCCAAGTGACGACTGATAGAAAAGAAAACCACCGAGTTTATTATAGTCTTGATTATTGATAGGTCCCTGTAATCTGTGGTAATAATGAACTGCCAGTGTGATCCGCGACTTGCCTGCTTGGCGCACTGCTCCTTGAGCTGCGTCACCTTGTCCTCCAGCGCCGCGTTCTCCTTCTTGAGCTTGCGCACTTTCCGTTGCGCCTGGATCTTCACCGACATCACGATGCCTGTCACCCCGGCACGTCGCGCACAAACACACACGCACGCGCGCGTGTTTTAGGGAATTTAGGTCCCGCTCGCACCCTGCTCGATTTGGCCAGCGGTTGGCAGGCATTAGCAGTAGACGTGGACGTGTTTGTGCGCAAGTCCCTGTTGGTGCGCACCTCCTGCACCTCGTGCTCTCTATTAGCCCCCCCCCCCTCCCGATACGTTCCATTCATTAGGCTACCACATTCTGATAAGCTCCCCCCCCGCTCTCCTCCCCCTTAACTTGTATTTAAGAACGTGCATCTTGGAATCCCTGCCTCACTTGATACAGCAAATCTGGCTGTGACGGTCCCACCTGATGACGGAGACTTGTGTTGCCTCCGAAACGTCGTGATTTTTAATTATTTTATTAATTTTATTTGATTTTTTACCTACGTGACTTTACCGAAAAAACTAAGGTGTATGAATCCTTGCAGTCACGAAAGCTTCAAATCTAGAATTAGGCGTTAGCAGTGTAACGGTGCGATTCAAGAAGTGTTTTTTCTCTCTCTCATATTGTTCCGTGAGTTTGGTTTTGTACTTAATTGACAAATGGATTTGTTGGTGGCGGTGACACTGTGGAATTTAATTTGGTCTCTGCTAAAGCATGCGAGTCGACAGGGCTTCATAATACAGACATGCCAATTGAATTCCTCTAATTGGAAATAAATGGAACAGCTGGACCTTTGCCAGCTACTTTGGAGAACAATCAGCAGGGTGAATGCACAGTGGTCGAAATGAGAATGTAGATGTTCTGGTATGAAACCTATTCGTCCTGCAGTTCATGTTTACTCCCATTTCCGGCTCTGCAGAAATATCGTAGCATGGTGGGGGCATTGAAACCGTTCTGAACAGAGCCGGTACTGGTACGCGTGTTTGGTGTTCCCTGAGAAGTGCCTGGATGGCGTATCATCGTACACCGGCCGATTTCTACTGCGCGTGCATGTAATGTTCGATTCAAACGACATGGATCAGATACCAGATGTATATTTACTATACAATGTGTATGGATGAGCGGTGGTGCAGCAGTTAGCATGCTGTGTTATGAACTCTTCGTCCTGAGTTCAATTCCAGGCTGCAGCTAACATCGGTGGTGGTCCTGAACCCCCGACCCACCTTCACCATACCAACACGGTGGTAAAAACTAGGCAACTAATGATACACCGATTCCTTAATTCGATATATGCATAGGGTCATGCTTGTCAGAATCCATTACTTTTGATTGGCATCTGTTGTATGTAATGGGTTCTGATGACCCCTGTGGGCACTGCACGCTCGCCACTCCGCCGCAAATAGGAATCGATCCTCGAATCGTGAACCTCGAAACGTGACCCCAAATCGGACAATTAATAAAAATAATCATGCTCGCATTTAGAAAGCACTCATAGAATAATTAAATGTCTCGGAGCGCAGTTTTTTTAGCCTAGAGGACCCTCTATTGGCAGCTTGCCTCTGGGTGGGGAGGGGGTTTTGATGGAGGGTGACTTCTAAACACACATCAGTGTTCCATGTTGCGTGCACGTGGTGTCTGTGTGAATGGCGTAGTGGTTGACGCACCATGCTTGTATTTTATATATCTCATCGGTCGCACAGCTTTCTCGGTGTGCATATTCTCAGCAGTGCAGGCAGTCCCCGGGCTACGGAAGGGTTAGATTCCCGAGAACGATCCGTAACCCGAATTTTCCGTATGTCAGAAACTGAACAAATTTCCCCCAAAATGAAGATAAAATCCCATAGGAAATAATTGTCCCTCCCTATCCTTTTCTCTCAGTACTATATCGCTTTGTCGTCTGTTTTCAACCACGACCTGTACCGTATCGCTGTACATACGCTCTGCACTTCCTATGCTTCTTTCATTTCATCGAATATCTACCCTAACACTACCCATATTTACTACCCAGAACATATACTGTATCTGATTGTTTATGAATACCAATAAACATTTTAACAATAATTGTTAACAGAAAGTCGTCACTTCCGAATGTTCGTTTACCGTGCATTCGGCTAGGCCAGGGGTCGGCAACCTACGGCTCCGGAGCCGCATGCGGCTCTTTACGGGCTGCTTCTTGACGATATGTACGTATGTACAGTATGTACTCAGATGCATTGCGGCTCTTGAAATACTGAATTTTGTACCGAATTGGAAAGAAATGGCTCTTCTTGTTATTTTGGTTGCCGACCCCTGGGCTAGGCCTAGACTTCTCCGATCGCTGTTGGTTGAGACCATACGCAATCGAAGCGTAATTGTGTTAAATAAAGTACATATGTAGTGACGTAAATGGTGTCACCAGGGTGTTCGCGCCAGCTACTGTTACAGGAGTGCGTCTGGAGCCTCTCTCTAGCACCAGAGTAAGTACGGCATGTCGGCCAGCCCTCGGGGGCATAGTCCTGGTGATGGCCTGAGAGAGAGAGGGCAAGTGAGCACGTGGTAGCCTGAGTGGGGCACGTGATGCTCGGTCGGGATCGTTCGGGAAAGGTCTTGAAGGGGGCGTGGCCAAAGGCGGGGCAAGGCCACGCCCAGGAGCATCAAGGGGCGGTCCCGAGAGTGTTCTTGGCTCGTCTGTGGAATCAAGCCTGGGTCCCACGTCTCGCTTTAACTCGCTACTCACATAGCCACATCGCCTAGCTATAGAACCCGAGTTACCTTCAGTGTTACCCGCTCGGGAAGTTGTTAAATAAAAGTGTTGCCTCCCAGTCCAGAGTCTTGAACACTAAACATACAGTAACTCGTGGAATAAACTTAAAGTTAAGAAAACTAGCAATAGAAACATGGGATAAAAGATAGTTCTAAGCGTAGAAGACAAACAATTATGTAATGCTACAAAAGGAAAAGAATTAACTTAACGCTTCGTGAAGCTCCGGTTCGGTCAAAGTGGCGCTTTGTTGGAGTGAGGCGTGAGGTGTGACGCTTACGCCTCGCTCCGCGGTATTCATCCACAACCTCAGTGCGCTGCACTATTTGCGCTTATGTAACGAACGCGAACATTTACGCATATTTAAAATGATATATATATTTATGGGAGCATTTCCATTAGTCAGGTCTTCCTGCAACCCGGGGACTGTAATGGTTTAATACAAGAACGCTCTGGACTGTTTCGACATTCAGTATCTCATCAGAGTTAGGCTTACTTAAGAGCTTTTACAGGTAGGAACAACAGTTCCACACTACCCACCAGGGATTATTTGTCTGTCGTGCATAGCCCTTCCCAAACATGTAGTACGCTCCCGCATTGGTTGAAGTGCGTCACGTGACCGCGAGCTTTCTGTCGTGCACGAATGCGCTGTCCAACCAAGTTCCTACCTGCCCACTCCGAAGGAACGTGCTTTATAGATTCACTGAAGCAGAAACTTTATACACAGTCATATTTGTAGTTACATGTGTTTTTATGGAGCAGAGGTGTGGAGAGTCGTGGTTTGTGCACTTAACTATGAACCTGTCTACCGGAGTTCAATTCCCAGCCACTACTAACATCAGGGGGCGAATGATATCTGAACTTGCTGTGGGCCTCCTCTATGTCACCTGGGCCTTAAACAAGCACCTGGCGTGGTGCGTAAACAGCACTTGGGGACACAAAAGTCGGCCGGGTGCATCTTGCGCCGTGCCACAGCCTTGATATCTGCTCGCCAACAGCACTCGCCACAGACAGCCTGCTAAGGCTATGGGTGGTGTCTGCTCTTGCAGTTATCTCCGGCGACCACGACGGGCCCGCGACGCAACTCGGCGCTCACCGTTGAGCACTCGGGCGAGGCGCCACAGCCGCAGCAGCACCAGTAGGCCCGCAGCGTCGAAGGCGTCCCGGCGCGACGCGTAGGCGATGTCGAGCACGAAGGAGAGGCACACGACGAAGGTGTCGAACACCTCGAGGCGCGAGCGCGTGAACGCCACGATGCCGAACGCAAAGACGTGTGCCAGCCGCTCCAGCACGAAGAACGTCAGCACGGCCAGCGACAGGAAGTTGAAGACCTGGTGTGAGGCGGGTTGCGCACGGAGGGACAGGAATTGAATATGGATCGGAGGAGAGGGGTCTCACCCGAGGCGATTTGGGGCGACTGCAGAAGATCACAATCAGAATCTTATTTAGACTGGAGGAATCCAATGAGGTGTAAAGCTCTTTTTTTCTCAGATGTCCAGTATGGGTGCGTCAGATACTTCGGTGAAGGTGGTGTTAACCATCTCGCGTTCGCTTGAGATGTCGTTATAACGACCGTTTGCAAATTAACCACAGGAATTGATTACAAACCTGAATGGAGGCTGCAAAATTGGGCTGAAAATAAATATTCAAGACAACACGTGATGCTCATTGATTTTTCTAAATATTTCTTTCCCCCTCTGGAATTAAACAACACATGCGTTACTGTTTTCCCAAACATCTTGATTTCCCCTGATCACA